GTCTAGTTCGTCATGTCGTTCGAGGTAAAAGTAAATTTTCCTAGTCGAAAACCCGGTACCTGAAGCACCACCGGTTTGTTGGTGCTAATGTGTCGAAGAAGTCCCCCGTTGAGTGGAGCTGGCGATGGCGTGGCTTGGTGTGCGCTGATTTAGTTTAAGTTATATTTTATTTAGTTTTAAGTTTTCTTTACTTTAGTTTTAAATATACTTTAGTTTTAAGCTTTCAGTTTTAAAAATTCTTTAAATTTTTTCTTTAATAAAAATAAAACAGTTTCACAATAAAAGGTTTTCTTGTTTTCTTTTTTTTTGTTTTTTACGTAGGCGATGGCCACGGACTCCACCTTCTTCAGTAGACTCAGAAAATAAAAAGGACCGACATTTTTGTCATTAGGGACCGAGAAACTTCGGTTGCCAATATGGTGCCCATCCAATAAATTTTCAGCAATTTTTTTGTTTTCATATATTTTTTTTCATAGTAGTTTTGTTTTTGTTTACTTTCTTCCTCTTCTTCCTAAAGAAAAATTTCCCTTTCTATTTAGTTGCCACCTGTTTACCCTGCTTCTTCTTTTATTTGGTAGCTTAACTACAGGGTGCACACGACAAACCGTACCATTCTGTAATCCATTTATGGATACAGAATGGGGTGGAAAAATTTGCGCCCTGAATTTTACTAACGTCCCTAATTTTAAAAATTTCCTGGGATTTTGGGTATTTTCTTACTCCTTATCAAAAAAAGTTTACTATGGCAACCCTTATTCATTCATGAATAAAAGTGCGACTCAGTGCCGCCGTCAAAACTGTTCGTGCGGCGACGTACTCTGATTGTACTACACAGCTGTTTGAATGAAATGGAAAGGGAGGAGAGAGAATGCAAAAACGCATTCATTAATATTTTTCAATGGCGGTGATCAACAATGGTAAGTATTTGTTAATGAAATTTTTATTTTTGAATTTATCTATTTTTATTTAGAAATTTTACTGAAAAATTGTAACAAATTACTAATTTATAATATTTTATATTTTCTTATCAGAAAAAGACGGAGATTTTGGTGGAATTATGGTAAGTAAAAATTTATTTAATTCATTCAATATGAACAAAATTTTCAATGCATTTTTATACCCTACACCACTTTAGTGGGGAGGGTATATTGGATTTGTGCTGATGTTTGTAACATACAAAAATATTCGTCCTAGACCCACCTTAAAGTATACCAATCGGCTTAGAATCGTTTTCTGAGTCGATTAAGCTATGTCCGTCCGTCCGTCTGGCAGGCTGGCTGGCTGGCTGTCCATGTAAACCTTGTGCACAAGGTACAGGTCGCAATTTTCAAGATAATTGGATGAAATTTGGCACGCACGTTTTATTTGACCCATGGACGAAGCCTATTGAAAATGGTTAAAATCGGTCCATTATTTCACCTAGCCCCCATAGAACAGAACCCCCCGAAAAGGGCTTTTGAGCTCATAATTTTGTTAAATTTACAGATATATCGATAAAATGCGGCACAACTAAGTTTTATAGAAGTCTGGATGACCCTGCCAAATTTCATAAAGATCGGGCCCCATTTGACCCTAGCTCCCATACAAAGTCCCCTTCAGAAAATTACTTGAATGTCCCAAATTAACTTATAAACACAAATATCGCGATGAAATTTAGCACAATAAAATATTATGTAAATATAAATATATTCACAAAATTTTATCGGGCTTGGTCCATATTTGCCCCTAGCCCCCATATAAAGCCTCTTTCAGAAAATTAGTTTTTCATCCATAAATTGCTTAAATGTATCGGAACAAGGGAATATTGAAGATAAAAGCTTTTATGAAAAATAAATCACATTTAATATTCATAACTGGTGTAGGGTATCATATGGTCGGCCACGCCCGACTAACTTTCTTACTTGTTTTGTTTGTGAAACTGAAGACTAAGATGATTGGAAATTATGCCGGTAAAAAAATTAATACAGTGAGTGACAAAAGTGGTGTAACCGAAATTATGCTATGGTTTTAAAAGAATAACTTTTAGCGTGTAGTGGAATGAAATAATAGCTTTGTTCATTTACATGCTAGTTTTTACTATTTTTACTGTTTTTACTACTTTTTGTCAAAAATCTTTTCGTTTACTCAAAAAATAGTAAATAATAGTAAGCATTTTAAGAGAAAAAATATTTCTCTTTTACAATACCTTACTCGAAAAAATTCTTATAGTAAAAATAATTTTAATGTCAATTGATATAAAATGAAAAATTGTTTGGAAATTTCTATTATCATTTAGACATATATTAAACGCGTGTTTCGTGCTTTTTGCAGTGTTTGATACAATGTTTAATACAATTCAACATATGTTTGATTCAAGTGAATCGTCCAGTAGTGATGACGAAATAGTGGAAATGTGTGTAGAAACAGACGAAGAAATACAAATGATGTCTGCTTTAATTAAAGGTAACAGGACGTAATGTTAAATATCCACCACCAAACGAAAACATGAGGGCAAAGCTTAAAGTGCATTTTGAACAAAACTTGTTCAAATTTTTACAAGGATGTACTCTGGTTGTTGTTGGATATTTATAATTGGAATATCTTGGTATTATAATTAAGAAATATTTGTATGCATAGATAAAAGAAATTCTATAAAGGATTATATGGAAAACGTGTAAATATGTATATACAGAATTGTATTCTTATTTCAGATTATTATATATTAGGAGATTCAGCTTATCCGTGTAGCAAACATCTAATTACACCATACAGAGATAACGGCCACTTAACAAATACCCAAAAAACATTCAATATTAAGCTTAGTTCTGCAAGAGTTTCAATCGAACATACATTTGGCATTTTGAAACAACGCTTTCGACAGCTTTATTATTGCAAATTAAAAGGTGTAAAGAAGTTATGTCATTTTATTAGAGCCTGCTGTGTATTACACAATATCGCATCAGAAAATGATTTGGACTTTTTATATGTAAATTCAGACTAATTCACATGAAGTAGAAATATCGCCTCAAGAAGAACATATTACAGGAAATGCTTTCAGAGAGCTTATTTGTTCCGAAATCCAATAAAAATTTCCAATAAATTTCGCAAATTTCAATATACACATGTATATGTATTTTTTTATAATTAGGATAACAAACAAGTGGAAGTGTTTTGTCATATTGTCCCAATTTTTTTATCTAGTCTATAGTCTAGTCTAGTCTATAATCTAGTCTATAGTCTAGTCTACAGTCTAGTCTATAGTCTAGTTAATAATAGTAGTCTAGTATTTAGTCTACAGTTTAATCTATAGTTGAATCTTTAATCTTAAAAAAATTAGTCATTCTGTTATAAATATTCGCAGAAATGTAAAAAAAAAATATTTAGTATAAATTAGCACTACTTTTGAATTCTAATTTTAAATGCTTGATTGCAGAATATAATAAGATGTAACCGTGATAATTTTCTATTATAAACATTTTAATAGTAACATGTTTATTTCATCAAAATATACAACATTTAATTAGCAGTAAATTTATTGGCAATTTTTTCCAATAGCACCAGTTTTTTATTCCTATATTCTTCCTTTCTTTCATCCTTTTTACGAAGTATATTTAAAATATTTTCTTGAAATAATCGTTTTTGCTTCCCGATTTCCTCAATTTTTTTTAATGCTTTGCTTTGAACTGTTGTTCTTTTTATACCCACCATCAAAAAAGATGGGGGGTATATTGATTTTGTCATTCCGTTTGTAACACATCGAAATATTGGTCATAGACCCATAAAAGTATATATATTCCGGGTCCTTATTAAATTCTAAGACGATCTAGCCATGTCCGTCCGTCTGTCCGTCCGTCCGTCTGTCCGTCTGTCTGTTGAAATCACGATAGGGACTACACGAGAGGATCTAGACAGTTGAAATTTTGCATAAATATTCTCTATTGCTAAGGTTTGTTTGGTATTGAAAATGGGCAATATCGGTCCACTTTTTCGGATAGCCCCCATACAAATGGACCTTCAAAAAACAGCTTTAACGGGCATAACTGCTTTAGAAGTACGAGTATAGCGATGAAATTCGACATAAATAAGTTTCATATGATCGAAAATCTTTCTACCAAATTTTTTGAGGATCGGTCCATAATTGACCCTACCCCCCATATAAGGTCCCCTTTATAAAATGACTTTAACACTCATTACTGGCCCAAAAATGCGAGTATAGCGATGAAATTCGATATAAGTAAGTTTCTTACGAACCAAAACCTCTCTACCAATTTTTTTTAGGATCGGCCCATAAATGACCCTACCCTCCATATAAGGTTTCCTTTAGAAAATGACTTTAACACTCATTACTGGCCCAAAAATTCGAGTATAGCGATGAAATTCGGTATAAGTAAGTTTCTTACGAACCAAAACCTTTTAATCAATTTTTTTTAGGATCGGCAAATAAATGAGCCTACCCCCCATATAAGGTCCCCTTCTGAAAATGGCTTTAACACTCATTACTGTCCCAAAAATGCGGGTATAGCGATGAAATTCGGTATAAGTAAGTTTATTACGAACCAAAATCGCTCTACCAATTTTATTTAAAATACGAGTATTGCGCTGAAATTTGGCATAAACAATTTCTATACAAACGAAATCTATGTACAAAATTTTATGAGTATCGGTTCATAATTGACGCATATAAAAGTCCTCTTCAGAAAATTACTCATACGCTCACGGTATAAAAATTTAACTAAAATATTTGGTTTTTAAAAATTAATATTTTGTTAGTTTAAAAGAGCTCGGTCCATAATTGCATATTCCAAATATCACCCTGATTTTTATAGGGGAGCATTCCTTTTACGGCATACGGTTTGATGGTGGGTATATGAGATTCGGCACAGCCGAATATAACTCTCTTACTTGTTTCTTTTGGGCTTGGCTGATCATCTGGATCATCTAGATCGTCTAAATCTAAAAATATGTATCAGAGGTATGTGTTTATATATGCATAAATACACATGTACGTTAAATAGGAATATCTAACTTTTAGATTCATTTCTACAAACTCCCTCAAGTTCTTTATTATTTAGGATATAGTCTGGATTAAGACCTCTTTTGTCTCCAAAGAGATCCCCTAGTTCACTAAAATATATTAAGGATTGAAATAAGTTTTTATTTTTTAGCTAAAAGGGAATCTATAGACCTTTCATACGGGCAAGTCATTTTCGATCGTCCCGTTAATTTGTTGTTAAGCTTGGTTTTTTTATATTGTCTTTCTAAACTCCTAAATTTTGTTTCAACCTGTATTGGTGTAAACATGTATCTAAATCAGAAAAGGAGAGAGGAAGATAAATTTTAAAGCCAAATATAGAAATCTAAAAATTACCCATTTGATTTTAGTTCCTCTGATATCAAATCCCACAACTTTTTCTTGTTTTTTAAAGCTGCCGATTTACCCACTTTGGGTTGCAGCTCAACTAAATTGCTTATAAGCAATTTTGTTGGTGCATCCAACCACATTTGCTTTTCCGATAGATTTTCCATTATTTTTTCAATAAATTTTTTTAAACTTTTTTTTTTTTTTGTTATTTGAATATTTTGACATAAAATTATATTTTACTATATTGTTTTCTTTTACATTTCACAAATAAAATATTTTTGAGTAATAATTTAAAAATTCTCTTTTTTTACTAGAAATGTAAACGATCAAACCTAATGTGTAGATTTGTAAAACAAAACTAATTTTTGGAAAATACAGTGCCGGATGAAAGTGTGAGTGATCGTGAAAATTTAAATTAAAAAAATACAACTAGTGGATTAGGCTATGGTGTTATGAAATAATTAAAAACTTACTAAAAATTTCCTACACTGGTGTGCAAAACTCTAGTGACATTGGAAATACAAGTTAAAATTTATGAAATTTAATGGAAAATTTGAAAACATTAATTCAGGTTTTCTTTTTTTTCGAAAAATTTTTTTCTTTACGGTTTCTGTATTTTCAATTTTTTTATTTTTCTCGTATACATTTTCTATTTGTTGTGATTTTCTCTTATTTTGTTTAACAATTTTACTAAATCTATGTGAATTTCCTATTCTTTCAGGTTGAAATACAAAAGGACCTTTAATTTCAAGCAGGCCTTTAAATCCGTGTAGGATTAGTGAGTATTTAAAAAAATAAATTAATTATAATGTTATTTATTATTCATTGTAATACAAGGACTAAGTCCACCAAAGCTCGTAGAGTAAACTCTAGAGACTTTGGCGGGAAATACCCCTTGTAATTACCTTTAACTAATAAAACTAAATTACTAATGCTCCCGTTTACAGATTATCAATTAAAACTTAGGGAAACTAACATAGAAGACCCGGACATTATGATGACTCAGGTAGTCTTCTGATAAAAATAGATGAAAATGACAAGGACCAAAACCACCAAAGATTTCAGGCTGAAGCCTTAGATCTTTGGCGAGAAGTGCCCCTTGACATTTTCACTTTAAACAAAACTAGCTACTAGCTTATATATATATGATTGTTTGAGCATCAAACTTCCTAAAAGAAACTCTTAACAAAAATTTTCTTTTAAACAATTCATAGACACGATTCTTTTAAAAAATTTTATTATCAACTTAAAAAAAAAAATACAAAAGCTAATGATTTTTTCCCCACAGGTTCTTTGGAATTCAAGTGCCCTTGAGAAGGACGAACCGAAAGGACTAAAACACCACTGAGATGCCAACATCGGTGAAATCCATGAGAATTGGCAACTATTTATAATGAAATAATTAGAATTCTAATTATTTATTTGAACCTATCCTAAAGTCTTTCGTTTTTATTTCAGATTACAACAACAAGATCGTGAGGGGCAAATGAGGCGATGAAGCAGAAAATCCGAGTGAGTGTAAAGTAAATAAAAATATTTAATTTATATGTATACTAGATATATTAGAATATAAGTCAAGGTAGTCAGACAGCTAGTTTAAATCAGACTTCATAGATTAATTTCCAATATTAGCGCAGAATTCGGTGGTAATAACAAGACAAAGTTTAGAAAATTATGAAACAAGGTCCTAAACTCCTTGTTATTGCCACTGAACTCAAAAGAATTGTGTTTAGCATAGTTACGGACTATATCCCAACCAAAACTGACGTATCTGTACTATCGATCATTTATTTCCCAGCCAGTGACAATCTGCTTACGGAATGAACAACTACATGTTGGTCTTCCAACTTGTATTGTCCCAATTGTTTACTTTGGTGTCGGCTCGCTGTAAGATCGGACTCAGAATTGTGTTATTACCCTAGGTGACTAATAACCCTTACGCTTTTGATGGCACGGTACCAGAAGGCTTTGATGGGGTTGCACCTACTAATAGGGTAATGACCGGTTACATATGTAACCAGCTAAGAAACGTCGGCTTTAAGTCGATCCAACAAATAATTACTCATTCCAAAGTAGCTATGGATCTCATTGGACTACGATATAAATGAAAGATATGTACAGAACTCAGTGCTGCTTAGGATATATCAACAGCTAAGCCAAACTGAAATTCACTGCAATTAGAGAAAGAACTTAGATTAATAGGACGACTTGACAAGACAGATTTAAAGATAGGTACACAATTAGCTACGAATTGGGCGACTACTAGACGCTGTCAACCGGTAGAAATTCAGGAAGAAATGTTAGGACTAGAACCACCAAAGATATTGAAGCTATTGCTTCAAATCTTTGGCGTGAAAAACCCCTAACGATTTCCCCTGAATATCCTCGACCTCGTACAAACTGTTTCCGACTGGTCGGACGATTCGGCATTTTAGAAATTTTCGGGCGAATTTAGCATTAAAATTATTCTTAAAATCGCTTTGTTGGAAGTTACGTCGGTAGACTTCCTGACCGGGAACAAATTTAACTTGTCGACACCGCGTATTATAAGATTTTTCCTTACGAGTGTAGGCCTTAAGTAGATTTTCGCGAATTTTACTTCGTATCAGATCCATTCTAGCCGCGTTCGAGATAATATTCATTTCGGGATCGTTTAGCACTTTGAGCTTACGAGCCAATTGATAAACGCTGCCATGGCCAATCATATTCATTCCAAACAAGGCAAAATATGGCGTTACTCTGATGGACGACTGCAAGGAAGACCTTAAGGAAAACTCAATTTCGGACAAATGCTTGTCCCATTCTGTATGGTCTTCCTGCAGATACGACCTCACGGCTGCTAAAATGGGCTGATTGACGCGCTCGGACGCATTAGCTTGCGGTGAGTGGGTTGCAGTCCGAACATGTTTGACACCAACAATACTAATCATGTCGGCAAACTCTTTGCTAACAAATTGTTTTCCATTATCAGAAACGATAGTATCTGGTGTTCCAAATTTATGGAAAACCTCAGCAATTAGAAACTTTACAACATTCTTGGTGCTGGCCTTAGGCAAGGCCTTTAGTAACACGAACTTAGTCAAATGATCTAAGACGATAAAAATATAAATGTTTCCGTTTTTCGACCGCGGGTACGGACCAAGAAAATCTATGAAAATGCGTTGGAAAGGTCGTTCCGACTGTACGGAACCCATTGGTGGTCTGAGCGTAGAATTCGCGGGTTTCGATTCCTTGCAGATTTGACACATTCTTACAAAATTTCTTACTTGAACATTTTGATTGGGCCAATAAAAATACTACTTCACTCTTTACAGAGTCTTACCGACGCCTCCATGCGACGCTTGTGGAGAATCATGACACGCTTTAATTATATTTTGGGTTAACTCCGAAGGTACCCACAACTTCCACGCGAAATCTTCACTAATGGCTACACAGTCATAATGCCTGGTCCGTTTGTAGAAAAAACCGTCGACCACTTTCAAATCGGGTAATTGCTCCGAATTTTTCTCGACCGTATCAATTAAGCTTAGGTAATCTTCCGACTGAAATGCTTCCGAATTTAAATCCACAAGTTTAGATACGCTTAGTGAGATTTCGTCCATATCATAACGCGATTGGGTATCGGGTACTATATTTTCCTTCCCCTGCCTATGTTCAATTTCGAAATCGTACGCCTGTAAATGTAGACTCCACCTCGCCAACCGACCAGTTAGATCTCGATGTGACATAAGCCATTTAAGACTGCTGTGATCCGTGATCACCGTAAATGGCATCAATTCTATATAGGCCCTAAACTTCTTAATCGCCAAGACAACTGCCAAACATTCACGTTCAGTGACTGAATAATTTTTCTGTGCTGGGGTCAGCTTATGCGAGAAATAGGCTATTGGGTGATCTCCCTCAGAATCATCTTTCTGAAAAAGAACCGCTCCAATGCCTAAGTCTGATGCGTCACGTTGAACGTAGAAACGCTTGGAGAAGTCTGGGTGGTTAAGAAGTGGGCTCGTAGTCAGAGCTTTCTTGAGGCGATCAAAAGCAACCTTAGCTTACCCTTCTTCAGCGTTTCAAAGATTGGGGCCGCAATGGTAGCATAGTCTGGTATAAATTTTCTATACCAGCCTGTTGCTCCCATAAAGCTCCTCATCTGTCTTGCTGTCTTAGGGTATACAAAACGAGTAATCGTTTCCACTTTGGCCGGGTCCGGTTTTAATTTGCCGCCACCAACAATATACCCAAGATAGTTCAACTCCTTAAAACAAAATTTGGATTTAGCAACATTGATGGTCAAACCAGCATCTGCTAGACAATTAGCTACCCGTTTCAGCAATTCCAGATGTGTCTCGAATTCTGGAGATACTATCAATAGGTCATCTAAGTACACGAAAACTCTTTCACGAAGTGCCGCGGGGATCACTTTATTCATTAACCGACATAACCTTTGAGCTGCATTACACAACCCAAAAGGCATGACCGTAAATTGATAAAGTGGTCGTCCAGGTACCGTAAAAGCGGTTTTTTCTCTACTAGATGACTCTAGTGGTATCTGCCAGAACGCGTCTTTTAAGTCGACACTCGAAATGTAGATCGTATCTCCCAAACGACTGAGCAAACCTTCGATGTGCGGCAACGGATATGCATCCTTGACTGTTAGCGCATTGAGCTTACGCGCGTCCAGGCATAGCCGATTCTTCTCGCCTCTTCGTACGAGAGTAACCGGGTGACTCCATGGACTTTCACTAAGCTCAATAACACCTAAGTCCAGCATCCTATCCAATTCCGCATACATTAACTTTTGCACCGCCGGGGATACAGGGTAATATTTATCTTTCACTGGAATTGCATCACGGGTGTCTATTGCATGCGTTTCTAAATGCGTTTTACCAAGGCCCTTCTTTGTATAGCAGGGGAACATCGCAATTACCAAATCCAATCTTTGTCGCTGTTCATCATCCAACTTGTGAGTTTTAATATCTTGGGTCTCTTCTTCATCTTCGCAAAGATTAATACCATTCGTCGTAAGACTTTCTATACTTGCGAACAAATTAAAAGCCTTCATGAAATCGACTCCCAAGAATAACTCGCGACTCAGAGTAGGGACTAAATAGAAATTGATATCATGTGACATACCACGAAACACAACATTGACTTTCACACGACCGACTAT